GAAAAAAAGGGGGGAAAAAGGCGGACAGACACACACTTTAGATAAGGACAATTAGTCACTAGCGAGACCAAGTAGGAAGAGAGGTTTAAATCAGAGGGATTGAATGAGGGTGCTCTGTGCCTTCCCTGAAGCCATGCCCTCCAGCAACTCCCGCCCCCCCGCGTGCCTAGCCCCGGGGGCTCTCTACTTGGCTCTGTTGCTCCATCTCTCCCTTTCCTCCCAAGCTGGAGACAGGAGACCCTTGCCTGTAGACAGAGCTACAGGTTTGAAGGAAAAGACCCTGATTCTACTTGATGTGAGCACCAAGAACCCAGTCAGGACAGTCAATGAGAACTTCCTCTCTCTGCAGCTGGATCCGTCCATCATTCATGATGGCTGGCTCGATTTCCTAAGGTAAGGCAGGGGCTTCGATGGATCATTTAAAATTTTTTAGTAACATCCCCTCAACCCCTTCCTATCCCCCATTCCAAAAGGGAAAGAAGAAAGTAAGCCAAGCAGATCTCTCAAAGAGAAGAAAGGAGGTTTTCCTCCTCCTGGATTGTGTGCTATGAGGCTGTAACTAGTGATTGGGAAAAGCAATGTTTTCTATTAAGATGCACATGTTTGCAATGCAGAAGGCATTTCAGAAACTTATCAGTTATGACTGAAAAAATGTTGTGCTTACATATATCCACAATTAGCCTCCTCGTCTCCTTCTGAAAAAGAAACAAGAGGTTCAGAGCAGTTACAAAAGCGAAGAAAAGATCTCAAACAACAAAGAGCTGAAAAGAATGAGTATGTGTGTGGGGGTGTGTGTGTATGTGCGACAGAGAGGAGTGTGTGTGTGTGTCTGTGAATGTTCAAGCGGGATTGCACGAAAAGTGGAATTTTCCACGGAAAGATCGTTTCGTCAGTTCTCTCCCACTCTCAGACAGAAAACGAATTTAAGCAGAGGCTTGAGTGGTGGGCAAGTTGGATCGGAGTTAAATTTTTTTATTTTATATCCTCCGCTGTCATCTCCAGACTTGAGGACTTTGTAAGGCGCTTTTTATAGACGGAATGCCCCCCTCCCCCTCAGTTCCTCCTCCTCAAATCTCCTGCGGTAACTGCACAGTTTAGCTTTTCTTTAAAGAAAAGAAAAAAAAAAATCCTCGCTGGGGTCACAGCGTTACAAGGGAAGCGGTAAGAGACCCAGAAATACTCCAGGGAGGCTTCGGAGATCTGAACCCCGCACCAGCGGATTAGCAAACCCGGAGGTTTGTGATTCCCTTTGCTCTAGGGCTTGTAATCTAATTGGGCTCACACTCTCCCCGGGTTGTTGCAGTTTGGCAGTTAGGCAACTACGATCCCTTCCCATCAGGGACAGAGTTGCAGTGTAAAATAAGAAATACATCCTCTGCAATGTCGAATCCAAGTGTTGAGTTTTTAAAAATTCCCTCCAAGTTGGAGCCTCAGCTGTGGGTTCCCCTCGAAGAGCCTTCAGCGCTCTCAGTCCCACTCTGCCCCGAGGCCACGTCCGTTGTGCGTCCTTCGTATTTTTCACTCCTTGAGAAATTCGAGTTTTGCTTCTTGAGGTGCGTCCGCCTCTCAGCTCTTGGGGTTGTCCCCCTGGCCCGGGTCAGGTCTGCGGATGCCGCAGGTAGCGGGAGGCGCCACGTGGAGCGCTCCTTCCACATGGAGGAAGGGTAGCCGGAGAACTGAGAGGCTGTAGCTTCCCTTGCGGAGGCCGTTTCGGTTCCTGCTGGTGCGGTTGCTGCCAGGGCGGAACAGCCAGCTCTGCGCGGCCCAGCTTCCTCTTCGAAAGCTCCTTGGTGCAGCAGAGTGCGTCTCTGAGCTCATCCGAATGTAGGGTGCAACGGAGTTTTCCGCAATGCTTGTCCCACTTGCATTGAACTCCTTCAGCTGCGCAGACCCCTTTCCCCTCCAGCTTTCTTCTTTTTAAAAATCAGCCTGTTCGCCTAATGCTTTCCTGCCTCAGAAAAGAGTCTGGAAGGCAGCTTTTCGGGGAAGAAGTCCTGGCGGAGCGCATTCACTTTGTCTGTGCAGGCTTCTGGATGAAAGGTTGTTGGAACTGCCCTTTCCCCAGGACCGGATTTGCGCGGACGTCTCCTTTGCCACAGTAGGCCCACGCGACGCCCTGACTGTGCCTGTCCTGGAGCGCCGTCCCGGAGACTTCAGCCAAACGACCCTTCTGGTTACAAGACCCTGGGGTAGCCACGTCTCTTCTCAAAAAACTCCAAAAGCAGAGTCTGTTTTTTCTTTCTCGTATCCACCTACTTTATGATGCTCTTTAACGTCACCATTTGGATTTGGGTTTTCAGAATCTGAAACAGTAAAGCGTTAAAAAATAATTTACAGACCCGGAACTCAGCAGCTGATCCCCTCAGCATTATCAGTATCTGCATTGCTCCTTCCCTACTCCTTCCCAAAGCAGCAGCCTTTGGCTTTTAAAAACCTATTGATGGAAATCCTGACCTTAAATAGATGTAAATGCTATTGTTTTAATGCTCATTTAGTATCCCCTAACGCGCAGGTTCCACATTTCGGCTAGCTTCATTTTCCCTAGCGGTTCCAAATGGCCCCAAGTGGGAAAGAAGAAAGATGGAGCCTAACTCGGGGGTGGGGTGGGGAGGAGGATGTTACCTTTCCTGAGATCAGGCCGAATTATTTCAGGGGCCAAGAGACGTTGCCTTTACTCTGTGTGTGTGTGCTGGTGGTGGTGCGGGAGTGGAGAAGTGTTCCTGGAAAGGCAAGGGTTTACCCTGGGGATCTCTCCGTCCGGGGATTTGGGAAACAATGGGGTTTTTACAATATAGTGAAAAAGACAAATCAACTCGGACATTAAAAGAAAGAAAGTAGGAATCCACTTAAGCTCAGGCGCCGGGCCTGGTCTGAGAGAAACAAGGCAGGTTTCACCTCCTGCACGGAGGTTTGTGGGGCCCCTGGGGCTGAGGCGGCAATGCCGGCTTTCAGCATACAGGTTTTTGGCAAGGGTCGGAAGCCAGAGGTAGGCGCGCCTAGCGCGTCTCTTGCCGGAGCGCTTTCCTGGCAGTGGCAGAAGCCGGGCAACTGCGCTTTAGCGCCGTGCTCGTAGCACGTACACCCACCCCGTACAAACACTCTATGAACAAATACAGTCTGTAGCCTTTAGGAGATCAGGATCTGGGTGTCTGCGGGAGGGGGCCGCTGCGGGCGCCTGGAAGCGAGAGGCATAGCCCCCGGAGTTGGGCGGTGAGGGCGGGCTGGGGCGCGGGGCACTAGCTAGAAGCTGCGGGAACGGCCAGGGGCCAGCGTGGACTACCGGCTGGGGCAGGCACAGAGCCTCTAGCCCTGGCCAGGTCACCCTCAGGGAGTAGGAAGAGGGCCCTTTTCCGTGCCCCGCGCGCTCTCGTCCTGTCCCGGGGAACTTTCTTCTCTTATTCTCTTCCTCTGCAGCTCCAAGCGCTTGGTGACCCTGGCCCGGGGACTTTCGCCCGCCTTTCTGCGCTTCGGGGGCAAAAGGACCGACTTCCTGCAGTTCCAGAACTTGAGGAACCCGGCGAAAAGCCGCGGGGGCCCGGGCCCGGATTACTATCTCAAAAACTATGAGGATGGTGAGAAACTTGATTACCATTCTTTATCAGGGGAGCGGAAGCGAGCACCCGCTGGGTTTGTGTGTCTCTATGTTCGTGTGTGTGTGTGTGTGCGTGTGTGTGCGTGTGTGTGTGCGGGCGTGTGTGTGTGCGTGTGTGTGTGTGTGTGTGTGTGTATGCGCGCGCGCGCGCGTTGGGGCAGATTTGGAGAACCTGGTTGCAGGTCGCCTGAAAATGAAAAGTTGGAAGCTTCAGACGAGGAGACGCTGCAGTGTGGAACTCCTGACCTCATTGCGCAAAGGGGGTTCTCCAGGTTGTCCTCACCCAGCTGCTGGCCTTTTGCTGGGCGGCTGTCTTGGAGGCTGCTAGCGGGCTGGTCCTGCGGGGTGTAGATGAAGCAGGATTTTTGAGAAAATTCAGCCAGGTTCATAGATTATTAAAGGTCAGAGTCATATTTCTTTGCTAAAATTCTAGGCAAAGTGCCTTTCTGTTTTTCTTATTTCTTGCCTTCCTGTGATGAGGGTACAGAAGGGATTCAGTCGTTTTTGAAGTGCACTCTAAAGTTTTCTGGAATAATCCCTTTTAAATTGGTCCCTTGTTGAAGAAGGTTTGGAAATCTCCACAGTTAGGTCTTCTTCAGATTGCCTAATCTCAGAGTTGCATTTTTTTTTCTGTTTTAAAATGGGATTACAAATGCCAGCTTTCTTTCCTGACCGAATTAGGTAAGTGTTGGAAGGGCTTTGAAAACTTGAAATCCTGTTTCAGTCAGAGAGGCCAATCTTTTTTGGTTTGAACAGTCTCATTTTTACTAGGGAAAAAAGTGAAAATGCTATTGAAAAATTTTTGTTTAGAAGGCTAGGTGTTAACATCTATGAACTTCCTGTTTAAGTGGAGGGATGTGCTTTCAAAGAGGCACGATGGGTATTGGCGTTTCTTGAGCTATTGACACTGTTAAGATGGGATAGAAGAGGCATTAGTGTCCATTCTTGGAGGGCTTTCTCCCCGCTGTTGTTCCTTCTCATAAGTAAACTACACTTTTATATATAAAGGGCTCAGGGACAGGTTTTCAGAGCCCTCTGAATTTTGTTACATCTTGTTCTTACCAATCAGCTAAAGGAGCAAATGCCCTTGTATTTTCTTGGGCCTTCATTGAAAAGAACTTCTGGAGAGGTATTGGAATGTATTTCAAGGGTGGCTGAGGAACGTTTTTTTAAAGTGCCAGAATAAGAGAAAGAGGGCAAGGCTGAGGCTTCTTGAGTTTGGAGCATGACTAGGACTTACTCTTTTATAACATTTGCCAAAGCATGTAGGTGTTTAAGGCTGTATCTTTTCAAAGATAAAAGTCATTGCTATAAAAGTGTGGATTGCAAGTGGACTTTTTGCTGTCACTCAGCATAAATGCTGAAAGGTAAAAGATAGTCTTTAACAGCACCTCTGATGGTAATTTGACCCAGAACCTTATAGCTCCTAGGGTCACTGTCAGCTCTGTGATCAGACATAAGAAGGGAGAATATTAATGGTTTCCCCAATGAGATAGCTCTTCTTCCAATCCATTTGAACTATTTCCTCTTTAGTTTGTGGGAAAACTTGTAAGAGCCCCGGGAATTGCTGGGGGTGGGGGCGGGGGTGTGGAGAAAGATTATAAGTTTAGAAATTGGTCTGTTTCTCTCAACCTTGTACCTAGGATTATGTTACACTGAGAACAATGAGATCTGCTTAAAATGAAGGCTACAATTTGTTTCCCTTTGTGAAAGGAGAAAGTGGGCATCATGGGGAGAAAAGAAATTGGCAGAAGGCAGTGCCCTGTAAAACTTCATAGAATTAAAAAAAAAAAAACATAAATGGAAAAGATCCAAGAGGTCACCTTCAGTCCTTCTATCATGTCAGGGGCCAGTATAGGATCATTCCATATGGAATCCTTTTCTTGTTTTGTCCAACCTGGCATTAAATATCTGTAGGAATGTAGTTTTTCACCACTCA